TGTGTGTGTGTGTGTGTGTGTGTATAAACGCCTGCCCAATATGAAAGAGCTCGACGCTCCGTCCTTACCTAGATATTATATTAACAGAACATGACCATCAATTCCTTCGCCTGTGCCATGGGCTCGGAAAACGGCAGCATCCCGTCACAGATCGCCAAGGCTGGCAAAAATACAACCCTGCTCGACCAGTTCCACTACATCTGATCTATAGCTTCTGCTACAGTGTTGGAGGAAAGCATAGTGCCTTAATAGATGCGCAGCGCCAACTTCATAACTCTTATATATTTATAAGAATAAGGGTGACTGCTATATACTGCAGCAACCTCCTTGGAATTCCTTTACTCAGGGTTACATCTATTGAAATGAAATATTATAGAAAGACTCTAAGAAACCGAGTATCGTTGAAAAGAAAATACGAATGAAAGAGTACTAAAAATACTTTAAAGAAAGGGTAAACAACCTCCATAATCCCCCTCCCCTCCCTCCAAAGAACGTAATGGATTTGAAGTTGAACTTCTTTGGGTATATGAAACGCGATGATTCCCTCTAGAATATTATTCTTCAGAAAGCAAAGGTACATAGAAGGCAAGAGAGTAATGAGGAGACCTAACAGAAGGTGAGAACTAGACATTTTTCTTACTTAGGAACCTAAACAGCTCAGACAGGCAAGATAGCAAGAGAGAGTGTTTTACATGAAATGTATTGTAGAAAGGTCGGAGAAGCAAAGCCCTGCCTACAAGTACTGGAAAAGCTGAGAAAAAGAAACGCATCAACGGAAAGGCCTTTGTTGTAGACACCCGCCGAACGCGTGAACCGAGAAGCACAGTGTCGTAGCCTTGTGTGTATCAAGGTTGGTTGATCAACTATCAATAGTGGGCTGTTTTCCATGAGTCAGTGTTGCAAAAAAAAAAAGAAGCAAAGATGTAGCCTAGATCGCATTCATAGACATATGCCTTGACTTTGTCAGGAGGAAAGGTCTTTTCACACGCTCCAACGAAGTGGCAGTCTTGCTCTCTCTCTCTCTCTCTCTCTCTCTCTCTCTCTCTCTCTCTCTCTCTCTCTCTCTC